GTTCAGAAAACCGCCGCTGGCTGAGAAGGGGGTGGGGGTTGGTCCACATGATCCCAGAGGACTCAACCCCTTCATATCCACTCTGTATGTGATAGCTACTGTCCCCAGAGGCACCAGCTCCATGTCTCTGAACTCCATGCAAATATACATGAAGAAAGAAACCTGTGAAACATCTGATTTTTTCTAAATTAATGTTCCCAGGAACATTTTACTCTCAACACATTGACAGGAGATTGAAAAATCAATGGTGTTATATATATATATATATATATGTACATACATACATACATACATACACACACACACACACACACACACAGTATAGGCGTCTAGAAGCAGTGAGCTGAGTAAGATATCGATGCAGATGCAGGGGAAAAAAACAGATGTTGACTGTCGAACAGTGAGCACCCTGGCTTGTCAACTTATTATTCACTATATTCTACAAAGTTACATTAGGAGTGCCTTCCTGTTTGGGATGTCTTAAGGTTTGTTCACTTTAGTTTCACAGCAGACACAGCTGATTCAAATGAGGACCCTGGTTGTTTAAAATATGGATGAAAATGTATAGTCTCTACTGGTAATTGGCAACTATTTTTGAGAAAAAATGCCAAATATTCTCAGGTTTCAGCTCATCAGATGTGAGGATTTGTTCTTATACCATAGTAATATACCTCACTCCTAGGAGTACATATGGTCTTGGTCAGAACCATTCTGTCCTGGCTCCTATATAAGTTTAACTAAACTATCTGACAAAATTATAATTGTGCTGCTTTGGTGGAGGTATGTACTCTCTGAGCTCATTATCTTTAGACAGAGTTGGAGAGTTTACCATGTTTATCTATGGAATTAATTTTGTTCTGTTTCTACAAATTTGATTTAAATCCAAAATTCACAGTTGCTCAAAATAAATCCCCAAAACTCAGAAACACAAACAAAAAGGCAAACAGTGCAGTCACGTAGGAACTATGGGTTTTGGATGCAAATCAAATTTCTTTGTATTTCATTATTTAGCTTTTTGTTCTATTTTGTATTCTTGTTTGGGCCCCTGTGGTTGTTCAAACAACAAAGGCCCCACAACAGATATTAAAGATACACTATGCAGGATTTTTCTAAAAATAAAGCAATATATATAGACTCATACAGAAGTATCCCTCTAAATCAGGGGTGTCAAACTTATTTCAGTTCATGGGCCACATACAGTCTGATTCCATCGCAGGTGGGCCGGACCAGTAAAACCATTACATAATATCCTATGAATAATAAACACCTCCAAATTTTCCCTTTTTTTTGTCTAAAGAAGTATATTTTAAAAACGCTCGTCCATTTACAAAATACATGACAAACAGTTTGTGATGCCCTCAGACGAATGAGTGCAATTTCAACAATATTTTTCAGTTTTTCCACATTCTGTCAGTCTGGTACTCACTCACTGTCATTCCATGTGCATTTTTCTGTACATTTCCAATCCTGTATAGTAGTCCTGACATCACCACACCAAACTAAAGTGAACGATGTGTTATGGTCAGGGTGGAAAAACCATTTTACATTAGGAAAGCTACTCGTTGTTCAACCTGCTCCTTAAACCTGGCGCCTCTTAGCCTTAACAAGTGCTTTACTATTAGGTGTGCAACATCATCCAGTGGGTCAGATTGGACCCTTTGGACACCCCTGCTCTAAATCATCACTTATGACCCACTGGAAGTGTGTGGCGGTGTATTTTTCTGTAGAGACTCTCTCAGTCTGCATTTTCTGGGATGTATATGGGACATTTATGGGCGTGTACCCCTTCAGTGCTCAGGTGGGATTGCCGCTTTAAAAAAATGGTAGCGACCAGGTTGCCAGACCATAAGCAGCTGGCATCTAAGAGGCACAGTGCCGGAAAAACGCCAAACCACTGTTAACTTGGGGTTTTACTTTCACTATCACCGGCGAGCATGTTTACAAATCTGCATCGTATACTTTTATTCCAAATGTAGCAAAAACTAAACACAGCCAAATAAAAAAGCAAAAGTGAAACAAAAAAAAATAACAAACATGAACAAGTACAAAAGAAGCTATTCACGTATCCTTCGGTGACATACACTAAGTATTGCTCTCCATGTGTTGCTAATTCTCATTAAAACCAAGAAGAGGTCAGAGTCAACCCAGAAACCCAGAAAATAAACCCTCTGCCGTGGTGGAACACAAACATGGCTGAAGCCGAGAGTGCGACGAGGGAGGGAAAAGCAGCCAACCTCTCTTCTTCTGCACCTATGATGATTTATCTTCTTCCTCTAACTGGGGCAGAGAGGGGGGAGGATGGTGGGCAGTATAGGGTGTCCTGTCCCAAAAAAAAAAAAAAAAAAAAAAAATCCCTGCCCCCCTCAACACCCCGTTGCCAAACCCTAGAGGCCTGCTCTACTTCCAGCCACCTGGTTGACTTTGCTGCAGTGTGTGTGTGTAACTGCGTGTGTGTTTGGGGGGGGTTAACCTTCACCTGGTCTCGTAGAGATAGATGAAACCACAGAGTGCGCTAAAAATAAAAGGGCCAGTTTTCTGTCACCAGTGGTAATAGTTCCGTGGCAGGCCGGTTTGCGGCAGCACTGTCACACTGAAGATGCCTTTTTAAGCTTGACCAAGGGCATAATTTTCTCTCCCTAAATTAAAGATGAAATGTCTGCGTTCTGGCCCTGCGATTATCACGGAAGCCTGTCAACAGAAATATCCCAAGGAGGCGGGGCTGGATGAAAAATGCATCTGCAGTTTGGAAGAGACCAAGTCCATGTGGGGATTTTAGTGTGATAGTTGTAGATGTATGAATAAAAAATATCTGCATAATATCCAGTTGCTATCTGAGCAGGCACATAGTGAGAGAAAGAACGGAAAGTGTTTAACAGAGCGAAATCATTCACTGAGTTTCTGCTTTGATTTAAATGAAGAGTTTGTTTTTTACTTCTCACTATATGGATGACCTTGATCATACTTCCTTTTAAATAAGTCTAGTTTATAATTCACCCAGTAATGCATACTGAAAAAAAATCTTTATGTATAATGATCATATAACGATCACATATATTTAAACTACACTAAAGAGAATGACTGTGCAGTGGGTGTAGATGCCCTAAATAAAAGACAGGGATGTTTATTGAGTGACTTGTTTTGCAGAGATTTGCTGGAGGACATATTTCCTCCTTTGGGTATGAAATGATTGGCAGGAAGCACAGCATTACATAATGCAGCACTGATATGAAAACACTTAACTCAGCACTGTGAAATAAAACAGGAAGTCTGTCCAGGTTTATTGAGGTGAACCATCCTGTTTTATGCAAGTAGCTGCCATATTTGTATTTCTTTAAATTATCTTTGGTGACTAAAGTGTTGACTGTTGGACCTCCTACGACACTAATCTATATGAAGACAACAGAAAATACTTATTTCTGATTAATTTGCAGGGGAACAGTGGTTCTGAAGTGGTGCTATAGTCAAGTCAATTTTAAATGCATCTCATAGAGTCAAAAATCTGTCCAGAAAAACGGTATCTTTGTACACCAGTGGTTTCCAACCTTATTCCTTAAAGGACACCTTCTCTATCACTGAATAAACTGATGACCCCCGACTAAATTACATATATCATGGAATTTCAAATTACATTCAGTGCATAACAATAACAGTACAGAGCAAGTGATAACCTGTACAATTAACTATAATAGTGAACCCACTTCCCCTACAACAAGCACTTTGGATTAGTTTGAACAGACTAAGCCTTTGTACACGGGGCGCCAGCTCTAACAGGTGAGCTTGTGGCAACCTTATGTACACAACAGCCGTGGGTTGATTCCAACTCAGGCCCTTTGCTGCGTGTCGCTCCGTCTCTCTCTTTCCCAATTTCATGCTAGACTTTCCTATCTTAAAAAAAATAAAAAGTAAAAAAAATAAATTAATTAAATATTTAAAAAAATCTAATAATAATAACAATAACAATAATTTGAGCAGATTATATCCAGTGAATACTTCATCAGTAATGGGGTTTCCTGATATTTGTAGGAACTTTTTTTTTTTTTTACATAATTCTTTTAATTTAATTTAATTTAACTTATACTTGCTAGCCTTATTTTATTTTTTTCTCCCTGACCCTTGTTCTATCAGCTCTTTGGTCGTTTTAACTATGTACCTTTTTTAATGCAGGACAAGGCTGTTGAGCAGAGAGAAAAGGCTCTGTGAATATAGCTACACTGTGCCCTTATCCTGTAAGATTTTTTTTTAAGTTTACAACTTGAATAATAATCTATATTTAAAAATAAACTCATTTAGCTTTTATCACAGAAATGAATGAAATGTAGAGATATAGCATTTACTACTACGACTACTACTGCTGTATATTATTTTTTAAAAAGTTTTCTTACACCCCTTAAAACTAAAAAGGCCTTGCGACCCCCTATCAAGCTTTGGTGACCCCTAGTGGGGGTCAGGACCCCCAGGTTGGGAACCTGTATTTTAGACCCTCAATTCTGATTGCAAAAATACAACAAAAACAAAACTTGGAAAACTGCCACTCAAGGCACAGTATTTGAAACTGCAGGTAACCATGGCAACAACACTGATGCTTCACGCTACTCTCACGGTTGAAACTGAGCCAACAATGGGTTAAACAGATTACAAACTATTGAAACATAGCCTTTTTAATCCCTTTGGTCATGGTGTGATAATACACTTTGAAGTGTCCCAGAATAAGGAAATAATCATCCTCTCATACTGTGAAAGCTTGTTGTGCATCATTGCTTATTGTGACCTGGACTGCTGGTGCAAACACTCAGTGCAAACACTTTAAAAATGATGAGATGAGTCAAGAGTAACTCTCAAAATGTTGTTAAGTAGAGTATTTGCTTTGTAACACTTCAAACTGCACCCTCAGAAATGACCACTAAGTGAAATCATCAACACCTGACCACAAACACCATGCGTTATTAGCTGCAGGGATATTGTATTATGAGGTGTTCATTTGTCCACTCTCTGTGCATCACCTGGTCTCTGAGGCGATCCGTCTCCTCCTGGTATTCAGCCAGCTGTTTCTTCCACTGCTCCACGCTGCTGTTGGCTTCCTCCAGTGCCTCCACCAGCTTGGAGTTACTGTCCTGCAGGGTGAAGAGTTCAGCCTCCAGGTTTATCTCACACACAGACCTGAGGGGACAGACGCAGAGACTTAACTTAAAGCAGGAATCATCTGTTTTCCTTGGTTCTGAGGAGGTTATCAGTATATCTGAGCCCTTTTTTAAAATCAGAACTTTCATATTTCACATATTTATTTGATCTATTAATATGAAAAATATTGGTTAGTGCAGCTTTTAAGACGTGATGCTGGTCGACTGTTACACTGTCAGAAAGAAGCTTTGCTGGTGAGGAAAATGCAGAGGATAATGAGGTAATGAAGTGAAACATTTATATCATGCTGCACCAGCTGTTAGGAGACATTTGATGTGACATTTACTTGATTTAAAGAGCAATGAGGTTTTCAGAGAAGTTTGACACAAACAGATTCATTCGCTGACTTGTAAATTACCCTTAAATGTGACTTTTTATTACCTTTTTATTTTTTGACCTATAATTTTAATCATTTAAAGAGGACCTATTATGCTCATTTTCAGGTTCATACTTGCATTTTGGGTTTCTTCTAGAACATGCTGACATGATTTAATGTTTAAAAAAACACTTCATTTTCCTCATTCTGTCTGTGCTGGAACATCTGTATTCCTCCTCTGTCTCCATTTTATCGCCTGTCTCTTAAAGACCCTGTCCCAAAAAAGTCCAGTCTGCTCTGATTGGTCTGTGTTTCCCAGTCTTGCATATCTCAGTGTCTCTGTACCGTCACTGCAGTTGGAACAATGACTGTAACTGAGTATAGTAGCACTTTCTACTATGAAAAATCAGCAATAAAAGCTTCTATAAGATCACAATCAAACATGTTTCAGTAGGAATATTCTCATGAGACCCGAACTTTTGTTTTGTTTGCAATTTTAATTTTTCCTACCTATTTGGGATCAATTGGACCCAATAAGTATAAAAAAACTAAACATTGTCAATGATAATTAAATCCAAATGTCTTCGAACAGTGTCAAGTAATTCATAATTAACAGTGTCTTATCTTGTTACTGTTGCTAAAATTGGTCAAATTTGTTGACATCAAACTACAAACATTATTAATCATAAATAAACAAGTTTCAACCATAAAATGTGATCAGGTTTTACACCCTGTCCACTTTTGAGTCGGCATCGGCTGTAAACTGACTTGGCAGAGATGGCTGCCATCTTGTTTTTACATAAGCCCCTTTTACACTGCCAGATTATCCGCGAATGTTGGGCCATTTTGCCGGCAAGCTGCGAGCGTTTAGACACACAGAGCCGGATTGGTGAGTTGATCCGAGGTGCCCAATTTTCTGCCTCGTAGGGTAGTCATATTGGTGGTGGATAAACAGTAAACAGCTGATAGCAGAAATTAGAGAGCAGCTAGTAGCAAGAGAGAAACACAAACCTGACAGACACTGTAAAGTTGAGCAACTGGGGAGACAAGGAATTGCGCGCCCTCCTTGTCCTCGCAAACGAAGAGGCCATTAATCGTCAGATGACGGGGGAACTGTGAAGGACGGACCAACTTAAGAGAGAATCACAGAAGGACTGACCAGCCGCGGCTTCCCTCCCACGTCACTGTTTACGTCACACGCTGAGCAACACATTTTGTTACTTGCTCACGCCCCCCATTGCCCGAAAAAGGCACATTCTGTATAAACAAAAGCAGGTAGACAGCATTTTGCCGCACTCCCCGATTTTGTTTTCATACTGCCAATGCTGAAAAAAGACTGATTGGGCTTTCCTGCAAATTTGGACAACTCCTATCTAAAAAGGGCTATAGGTTAGTGTACTGTGCTCTTATTACCACTAGATGGCACAAAAAAATTGGGTCAAGTGGGACAACAGGTCTAAGTTAAGTAGAACGAAGTACAAGGTCAAGTCAACCCAAAATGTGATGTCCTCACACTAGGACACAGGGTCTTAGGAGGATATGATCCGAAATTGAGGAGAAATTTCCAACTTTGGGAAGCAAGAGGTTTTTCCTCACAGTGATTACCTTTACATATGTTTACCTTATTATTTGAAATTTTCAATTTGAATATTCTCTCTCTCTCTTTGTCATTTCTCTTTTGTCATTCATGCTTACAATGCAATCCTGCACAAGTCTTTTTATGAACTAATAAGTCCACCATGGTTTCAGATGCTCCTGTCCTGCCCAGTTTAAAAAATATATAACACATTAGTCAGTGTGGTTTGTTTTCTGGGGTGTTTTTGTGTGCATTTTTTAAAACAATTTGGCTTATACCCTGCAATAGAACGAACAGTGTGCTCCTTTCACAGCGGAGAATTACAGAGAACAGGGGGTGCTGTGGGGAAAAATAAACCAACACAGGGAGAGATGGATCAGGTTCTGTGTGACAGAAAAGGTCAGGATCCAGGTGGGATATTTAATAAACCAGAGAGCTATCACATAAGAAGATGGGGTTTAGGAAACAGTCTTTGCCATGACGACCAAACTAATGGCTTGGCAACCATAAAACTACTCACCATAGCAACAGGAGGAAAAAGCCTGCGTAGGCTTATGACAATCATAAAATGAAACTGTTGGGATAATAGGTTGTAAAGCAGCCGGGTATGAGTGTTTTTTCTGCTTCCTGGTCTCAGATGGAAGGTTGAGTGATCAATAATGGGCGCCATAATGATGATAATTATGAGCTGCTAAATTCAGTGCCAGTCAGGCCTGGCTGGTCTTAAGACATGGACACACACACACACACACACACTTTTTGCTTTGTGTTAAATGTTTGAATGTCTCATTTCTGCTCTTCTAGTTTGTCAATGCTATTAGCTTTCTTAAAAGCTGAAAGTGAGCTTTTCTTACATCCCAGAGCAGCCAGTCTGTGATGCTTCGAGTGAGTTGTTACCTATCAGGAGAGCACTCATTCACTGCTGTTAAAGAAACTGTTTGTTTTTCGTGACTTTTAGTCTCTAGTACAAGTTAAGCACCAAAATCCCTGGCTCATCTGGTCCTAATAAACCCCAGCACTGCATGTCCTTGCTCTCTTCATACTCTGCTGCATACAACTAGCGCGTCCGGACAAGTGCATGTGTTTGAACTCTGCTCATGCATTTCATTGAGGTGAGCTCAAATGAACGACCTTGCCCAGGCACACAACTTATCTCTGCAAGAGGATGTTTATGTGGAAGTGTTTCAAATAGTAAGGTTTGAGTAAAAAAGCATGTGTTTGGGTATAAGCAGCATACAGCTGGATAAATGACACCTGGATTATACTGCACAAGTTGTGTGACTTTGTAAATGGATGCTTTGATATACTGTTAAATGCTGCCCCCATTTACTCCAATTCATCAAAAATTGCTAAAGGGCACCTCGGCAGTGCCCAGGAGGTGAACTGGTACCTCTCCAACTACCAGTCCACGCTCCATATTTGGTCCGGAGGGGACTTAAACAGGCAACCCTCCAGTTCCCAACCCAAGTCCCTATGGACTGAGCTACTGAACTTGCTTACACAGAGCAACTACAGCAATCAAAAAAACAAAAAACAAAACAAAAAAACAGTTGGCACAGTTGTTGGCAAACAGTTAAAAATCCTGCAGTCATGGAGCAACATTATCATTCAGGAGTCGAGTTTCTGAAAATGTGGTGAATGTAAGTCCATAATGAACTCTCTTTTAGCTCTGTTTTTGGTCTCTACCAACTCCTGAGGGAAATATCTGTCTCTCTAGTTGCTAAATGGTCCACTATAGCCCCGTTTTCACTCAGCAGTACGGCACGGTACAGTTCAATTCAATTTGGTGTGCTTTTTTTTTTCCGTTTCTACTGTTGTGGATGGTACCAATGTAACCGTTCCGTACCATCCCCATTTCTGGTCCCCCCTCTGTTGGGGTACCTAGCACACAGATCTGGTACTAAACACTGCTATGAAGTGCAGTCGGACTTTAAACTATACTGGGCGACTGCCAGCAATGTTTGAACGTCATTCCTGTTGACTCTGGCAACACTAAACCCCTGAGCTTACCTTAGAAGGACTAAATGCACAAACCTGCTATTTTTAAATATCCCATGGAGAGAGACTCTCACGGCAGCCTGTTCTATTTTGTTCTGAAAATGTCAGTGTGCAGCCTCATTCTGTGGATGATAAATGAGGTGCAGACTAATACAGGAGTGCTGGACGGAGCAGTGAGTGACAACAACCCTACCCATAGTTTGCAGTTGAAATGCTAGGGTCTAGGTACCATGTCTGAAGGGTTACTTTTGGTTCCAAAGGTACCATACCAAAAGTGTTAGCCAGCTAGTTGCTAACTGTGTCTGCCTGTTGTTTGGCACCTAGCAGGTCATGTACAGTGAGATTTTAGAGCTGTTTCACTGATAACATCTCCTATTGTGGCTGAAAACAATGCCACGAGAGCTCTGACAGTGAAAACTGTGAAGTAGCAGACCAGAGAGATAAACCATGATCTTTAACTTGATATAAATCGCTGAAAATATCACTTAGCATAGCACTTTAAATTTGGATTCACTGTGTCTACAGCGTCTCAGTCAGTAGGAATGTGACGCTCCTCTGTGCTGCAGCCACACCTTAGTGAAACACAAATATTTCCAGTTTACAAAATATTTTTTATTTCCTGCTGTCAGTTATGTGTCACCTTTATCAAACAGCAGCTCAAAAAGAACCCCCTCAGTTGTAGTGTGGGTACCAGCTCGGCTCCCTGGATGGATAACAGTATGTGTTGTTTGTAGAGTAAATCCAGAGTGCTGTCTCTACAAAACTTGTTCCCTGTGCCAATGAGGTCATGTTTTCAGCTTTGTTTGTTAAAAGGATATCTCAAAAACCTGTGAACAGCTTTCAGTGAATTCTGGTGAAAAGTTGGGCCATATGGGCTGGAGGAAAAGTGAGAAAAGTTTGTTCCTGCTATTTTCTCATGAACTAATAAAATCACTTGAAACACTTATGAAAAAGCATCATGATACAAACATTTCATAAATATTGTCAAATTGTGAAGCCTTAGCAGAGTATTCACTCTTTAAATGCTCTTATAATCATTGTGAGGACAGGCTTTTAGTAAATTTCCTTCACTGTACAGAGCTCAACAAAGTGCTCAGGGTATTTCCATCTGCTCACGTAGCCAAGCTCGGGGTTAGAGACGGGATTACAACCTTTGTAGTAAACTTTCTAAACTCTACCAGATAACATTTCCATTCCAGCACTCCCACTCTGACATCTCTCCGTTGTTTTCTATCAACGCATGCTTTATGTCTCTGTGTTTTGTGTATTATTGCTATAGACTGTTGTTATTATTTTTATGGTGTATGTGTTGCTGCAAGCCAAATATTCTTTCATAGACATCAGAAGCTCTGAGCATAACATTTTACTGCATGATGTCCTTCTCTTTCTGTTCCTCATGTTCTTGTCTCTCTGCCTTGTGTTGTCAAATAAATATCCAAAATAAAATCTAAGTGTGTTGTCGGATGATTGTTGTCGGATTGCTAGAATAAAAGGTTTTTTCATCTATATTATATTGAGCAAAAAGAAGAACATTATAAAAAAACATCAGTGAGACATATTTAAACAGTCCTCATGATGGAAATGTTCCTGTGTCTCTTGATTTTAACAGATCACACTGAACATACCATGTGATGTACAGCGATCTACAGATACAGTTGATCGTGGGAGGGCACCAGCTTATATAATGTTGTGCTTGCTCTGAGGGGAAAAGAAAGCTAACATTCGCCTTATAATTACAGATTTATTATATTGATTAGAGTGGTCTGGAATGTTTGAAGGATTACTGCATAGAAGCTGTCATGATGCACGAATAAAATAAAAAATTTTAAAGTCTCCTAAAGTGCTTTTAATGAGATCCTCTCAAGGTCTGAGCACATGTTCTGATCATTTCAATTTATTAATGTAAAACTATAAGGTCATGGTGGAAAGTAACCAAACATATGTACTCAACTGTACTACTACAGTCTGACATTACATTACTTTCCATCTACTTCACTACATCCCAACGAGGAAATATTGTATGTTTCACTCCACTACATTTATTTGACTGATACAGTTACTAGGTACTTGTTATAATTAAAAAAAACACATGACATGCTTACACCTAGTTGCATGCAAAGTATCAAGTTGGCTCCACATTGACAAACTACAACATTATAATGCTCTTACATGTATTCACTATTGATAGAAACAAAATAATGTCATTTTCTATGATGATAAAACACTTTGAAATGAGACATTGTGCATTATGGGTACTTCTACTTTTGATTATTTAAAAGGTATACTATGTGAAACTGAGAGAAAAAGCAAACCCCAGATTCACTCCTTTGGCATTTCGCCTTAATATATTTGCATTTTTTGCACAGTGTCTCTTGGATGACTGCTGCTTATGGACTGGTGCCTGGTCACTAACTTAAATAAAGCCCCGACCTCACCTGAGCGCTGTGGGGGGAACAGGCATGCAAACATCCAGAACACAGAAAAAAAAAGGGAAAATAACAGACAGAAGGCAGACTCTCTGCAGATAAATACCAACACACACTTTTAGTAGGTTATAAGTGACTACTGGGAGGGATTACTCCTGTATGAGGTCATACATTGTTTTTGGGAAAAACTTACAAAGTGTTAGCCTGGAAAACCAGACTCAAATCTAAAAAGACTTTGAGTCTGGCCCTCACCGATACACCCTTCCTACCCAAGGGGTAGCACTAACTTCAAATGCCGCTACACGCAATTGGATAGCACCATGGCCAATCAGAGCAAAAAACAAGGTGACGTATTCATTGCACTAAGCCCCATTGGTTTGCCGACCAGTGGGGCTAACTGATAGATTATGCTTTTGCTGTATCCCGTCGGCAAAACAGCAAAAACGTCCTTCCTGGAAACGAAGGCTTCTAGGGCAGTCTTCTGTTCCTCTCACAAGAAAAAAGATAAGAGTAGATGGCTTAGCGTTTCTTCCAAAGCTAAACTGAATGGACACGGTCCTTCAGCAGCTGCCATCTTGGCTGTTTACTTTTCAACTCCTACGGTGCAGCGCTGTCTTCATCATGTTACGCCCGCCCAGAGCCCACCTCTGTCAGATAGACTGATCTTATTGGTCCGATTGGTGATTCAGCAGTCTCTGCTCATCAGGGCCAGAGTCCCGTGCAGTGCAAATTCGAATTTGCTAGGGGCGGGGCATCTGGATTTCCAGGTTAGCAAAGTATATCTTTACATACATTTTGCTAATAATACTTTTGTGCTTCTACTAGCCCTGCTTAAAAGTGGCCAATTTCAATGTTAAATTCTGGAAAGCAGATTAAATAAGTGCACAGAATCTAATATTCATACAGATCAGACCAGGTTTATCAACAACAGAATCTCTTTTTTAAGCTCAGAAAAAATGTCAGCATTACACATTTGATAAATCATCAAGACAAGCCATTTCGTGCCTTGATCCTGAAAAGGCTTTGGACCAGGTTGAGTGGAGGCATTTACTCAGAGTTCTGGAGAGGTTTGGTCTCTGTGCTTCTTTCAGTCTCTGGGTGCACTTGATATTTTCTAATCCCGCTGCCTCCATCCTCACAAATCAGGATAAATTGTCCCCCCTTTCCTGTCAGCAGGGCTGAACCCTTTCGCTGCTTCTCTTTGCCTTGGCCATTGAGCCTCTGGCAATCAGCGTAAAGGAGCACACACTTATCAAGCCTGTAACACTGGGTGGGGGGAGACCACATGATTTTACTTTATGTTGATGACATTGTGATCTTTGTATGTGACCCCGAACAATCTGTCCCCATCCAATCCAGCGACTCTTTTAGAGAAGACTCAGGTTACACCATAAACTGTCAGAAAAGTGATCTTATGTCACTTACAGCAAACCTGGATCCTCAATTTCTGAATACCACTGAATTAAGAATAGCCTCAGATTGTATGAAGTATTTGGGCATTAAATTATCCAAATGTCCCAGGACTCTTTTTAAATCAATTTCACTGAAAGGTTGAACACGTTAAAAGAGAATATTGTTGCTGTTAAGATGGTTTCCCTGTCGAGATTTCTGTACTTATTTCAGAATATCCCTATTATCATCCCTAGATTTTACTTTAAGTCAATTGACTCTATAGTTATGCCATTCATTTGGGGATATAAAGCACACAGAACCTCAAAAGGCCACCTTCAGAAACCCAGGGAATATGGTGGCCTGGGGTTACCATGTTTTTACCATCAGAGTCATGATATACTGGCAGTATGTATTTGAACAAGGAAAAAGATCTGACCTTTTCTCAGTGGCTGCCTGTTAAAAAAAAATAAAAACTTGCCCTTAAGATTTTCTCTCCTTGCTCTTCTTTTTCTCATTACCTACACCTCCTGCCACTTTCACAGAGAACCGCTTTACACTGTCAAACGCTCAGACAATCTGGCACCAAATTAGGAAATTCTGTGAGCTTCCAAAAACATCAATACACGCTCCAATTTGGCACAACCATGCATTCTCTTCATCTTTTTCAGATGTTGCATTTAGAGAAAGGACCAAAAAAGGAATAGTCATTATAAAAAGATCTCTACACAAGCAGAAATTTTCATTATCGTTTGATCAACTATTATCAAAACTCTCACTGTTCAAAACTAGATTCTTTAGAAATAATGCTTGACAAGACATTCTGTCCTTTGAATTCCCACCTGAAGACAATCCAATACTCAGACTTTTGCTGGGCCTCCCAGAAGCTAAAAACCATACTGTGTCTTTCCTGCAAAGGTTTTCAAACAAATTAGGAGAACCCACGACTAAAATAAAACATTGAAACTAATAATGACATTTGGAACAAAGCACTAATAAGAACAAAACCTTGTTCTGTTAAATCTAGGCTACAACTGATCCATATCAAAGTTACACATAATCTACATGACTAAGGCTAGACTGCACACATTCTCCTTGATCTATCACCTTTATGCAATAGATGCAACAGATGCTGAGATAGATAGATGCTGAGAGTATTTACATGATTTTTGGTGTCTTTTGTTTCTATATTATTCTAATGTCTTAAAGGTTACTTTAACTCCTGACTCAGTAACAGCTCTGCTTGGACATTCCACAACATTGGAAAAGCTGGACCATATCACCTGCTCAGTCTTGGTTTATAGCATGTTAATTTCCAAGAGATGCATATAACTCTGGAAATCTGACTCCCCAGTTTGAAACCTGTTTGAGAGAACTTATAGTTGTCTTTCATGTAGAGAGGCTGAGATATGATTTGTCTTGTAATCTCTGGACATTCTACAGCACACTGAACCCAGTGCTACAGTACATAAAGGACCAACAGACCTACCCACCAGGTGTCAGGTGTTTCTCAAAGATAGCAGTGAAGATGTGTAAAAACTGTTGACAACACTGCCCTAATGTCATGGCTTGTCATAAAGTAACTACGGGCACTAAGCTTTCTTTTCTTCAGACAATAAGCCTGTGATCAGAAGCATGAGGTATAAACTTCCTTCTGAAGTAAAGAAAACATTGTCATTACCCTTCAGACAACATCTTCTTCACCCTCTCCTTCTCAGCCGTCAGCTGCACCTCAGCGCTCTTGCTGCGAAACAGCTTTTCCTCGCCCGGCCCATTGACTGTGAGCAGCGGTGGAGAATGGCGGTCCTCCGATAACTGCTGAAACAAAAGGGAGGAGAACCGAAACAGGACATTGCCTCTATTTTAAAGCTGAAATGAAATCAATAGCAGCCCTGTTAATGCAGCATTAGTTTCATTCTGTATTAGCACCTTTAGTGTAAGTGTTGAAAACTAGAAAGGAAAATATGTTTCTTGTAGTTGTTTGGGGTTATTGCGTAAATCCTAATTAACTACCCTGCAGTTTCCCAACAGCAGACCAGAGTCCTCTAATAAAAAGAGCCCATCATTTAGAGGACAAGAGCACTTAACAGGGTACAACTGGCACTTTTTGTCTGCACTACATTTTTTTATTCAGAGTGGGTGATCTAAATGCAGCTATGGAAAGTACCTAAGTACATTTAATTAAGCACTGTTCTGAAGTACCATTCTGGGATTATACTTGAGTGCTACATTCTGAACACAGGATTTTTACTTGCAACAGATAATTCCTGCACTGTGGTATTACTACTTTTACTTAAAGGTCCAGTGTGTAGGATTTAGTGGCATCTAGTGGTGAGGTTGCAGAACTGAAATTTCTCCCGTGTGCCCAGCGTGTAGGAGAACTACTGTGGTTGACGCCAAAATGCAAATGTTACGCAGTGTTTGATTTGGCAGTTATGGGCGAAACAACATGGTGGACTGCATGGAAGAGGACCCGCTCATTCTAAGGTAACAAAAACACAACAATTCTTATTTTCAGGTGATTATACACAAAAAACATACTTATGAATATAATCCATTTGTTCCAATAGATGCCCCTTAATCCTACACACTGAACCTTTAAGTAATGGATTTCTTCTTCCACCGCTGTTTAAACAAAATTAAAAATGTTCCAATATGCCGACATACCCTTTGACAAAAATTATTGATTGACTGCTGATACAAGATTAAGTACAGATAATTAGATTTTGGCCCAGAGGTTCAGGCATGAGCTGGTGACAGGTCTATTACTATCTCTAAATCCAGACCTGTCATCAAAACAAAACAGGCGAGACACCACAGCGGGACAGGACAGAGCTCAACCTGTCAGAGCCTGATATGTCCCATCTGGGCTCCTGTAAACAGGCCGCATGCAGAGCGAGCAGCCATGTGTGGAGCCCAGCTGCCTTCTCTTCACACAGCCTCAGAGATCTGATTGGACACTGATTCAACAGGAAATGATTGAAGTACAGTTCCTCGCTGCAAGCGTACATCTGGTGTCTGTAAAAAATGTGCACATGCTGGTAATCCTGCTGTAATGTGTGTGTCTGTTGAGATATCACTGCACATCTGGCAATAGACTCACAGCATTGCAGGTTTCACTCGGTACCAAAATACTAGTGTAATTATAGGTTTATTTTGGCACCTGACCTACATCAGTCTTAATCTTTTTACTAAAAGCTATTAGTTTTAGTTACAATTTGGTCATTTCATTGTAAACTTTATTAAAAGAAAAAAAAGATAATATTATAAGAAAGATCTTCAAAGATCATCTCAAAACAATCTCACCAAAAGCCCGAGCAGTACGGTACGTTTCAGTTTGGTATGCGTTTTTTTCCGTTTCCACTGTGAACAGTTGTGGATGGTACCAATGGAACCATTCCACACCATCCCCATTTTTGGTCCCCTTTCTGTTGGGATACCTAGCACACAGATCTGGTAATAAAAAGTGGAGCTGTGAACACTGCAGTCTGTTGATTGTTCAATAGCGGACAGTCACTCTGCTCAGGGCTGAGTCGTGGTTGGTTTTGAGGCTCATGTAACCTCTGTTCATACCATGGAGAGTTACATATATTAGTGGACTGTGACTATAAAAAGAAAGGATGTTTTGCTGCCTCTTGCAGCAGCTGGAGTCAGAGAAAAAAATAACTTAATTCACTGGGCCGACTGTCGGCGACTTTTAAGTCGGAATGTTAACTTGCAATGTTGCTCAATGAGGTGACGACCTGAATAAATCAGCACACCGCACACCATTTAACTTTAACACCTTTGACCATGACTTTAGTTTTTATTGTCTCTCTTGGATGACAAACACTTTTAGTAATGAGTGGATCTTCAAGTGTTTACATATATTAATTTCGACCGGGCTATGTGAACTGGATATATCCCAATCCTCACTTGGAGAAAGAAAAAAAAAAAAGCGCTGTGGATCGTCGTTCCTGTGGGCTCCGACAACACTAAACCCCCGAGCTTGCCTTAGAAGGTCCAAATGCACAAACCAGCTATTTTTAAATATCCCATGGAGAGAGACTCTCACTGCAGCCTGTTTTATTTTGTTCTGAAAATGTCCACTTGCAACCTCGTTCTGTGGATGATAAACGAGGTGCAGACTTACATCTGTGTCACAGGTAATGAGGAAATACAGTGAGTGCTGGACGGATCAGTGAGTGACAACAACCCCGCTCACATTATAGTACTGTTTACAATGGAAACTCTAGTGTCTAGGTACCATGTCTGAAGGGTTACTTTTTGTTCCATAAGGTACCATATCCAAAGTATTTGGCGAAAACGGGGCTTAAATGTCAGTTGAGTGGCTGTTCTGTAGCTTTTATTCACATCACATAGTCTTTCTCAGCAGATTTAGAATTGCAGATGTCCACATTTTCATTTCTATCTGAGCACTTCTTGTAAATCATCACCCTGTTGTATACTAAATCTTATATTTTATAGCTGTATTGTACCTATTAAGATAATCTTGTTTCAGTTAATTCAGATTTTACAAGATGATGTTTCATTTTCATTCATACCTTTTCTTGTCAAGTTGCACTTTTTATGAAACCATGAAACAATAGGTCAAGCATCCAGATACTGTAGTTTTGATTGAGCTAATTTTAACAATAGATTAACTTTATGATACATTTATTACTAATAGTACAGTGATATACAGGGGCTCGAATGTAATGAGGTTTCTATCATTTGTTTTGTTGGGAACTAAATAATCAGTGATCCATGTGACTGGTTTCTTTTTTATTTGTTTAGATGCCAGTAAAACCAGAAGCACCATCATATCACTAATACAAGTAACTATTGACTCGTACTTGATTGTCAATATTAACTCATGAGGTTATCGTGAAAGTTAGAATCAGCGTTTTGATGTAGAGATTAGGGCTACAAACGATACAGTTTGTGTTCCACATATTGCACCAGTGACCTTTAGTTTGATCACTGAATGGATCTGCAGCTTTAATACAAGAAGGTTCAACTCGTTCCTTGTTTGCAGCCTGGTTACTACAGCTGGACATGAAGTTATTTGGGAACAGATGTAGCCAAAAGGTGATTTATGAGTGAAGTAAACAGCTCTACTTGCAACATAAAAGTCAGCAGTCTTTGCCTTTGCTCTCTTTTTTTCTTACCTCATTAAAAGTATACAGTGCAGTATAAAATACAGATTAAATGAGAAGAGCCATTTATCGTCCTCTCGTGTCAAATGGAGACTTTGAGTATGACATTACAGCATGCAGATGGCTTGACTCCAGCCTGGCACAGTCAAGTCTGACCAATCTGCTTTGATATTTTCCTTCCCTGCTGCCCAGAAATGGGTTCAAGCTTCCTTTCACACAGTTTTGTGAACCATTTTCCTCAGTTTGAGGCTGTGGGCTATGACACTGAAAGAAAACACTGAAAGAAAGTCTCTTCTTTAAAAGCTTGCAGATGAATTAGCTTGTGCACATTTCTTTACCCCATCCCCTTCTTTCTTCTTCTCTCTGCGTGGTAACCTAAACCTGAACCTGTAAACGACCAAGTGCCTTGATGCAGCATTAAAACCCTGCACTTATTGGAGAAAAATCTTGTATTATTAATCTGAGCGAGCCTGAGTGTATTCCCCTGAGGACGATGGTTTATTATCTATAGCTGAGCAGCTCTCTGTCTGACCCTATGGATGGATATGGAATAAAACACAGCCGACTCAGAGCCGTGTCCAGAGGAAGGAGCTTGAAAACGTGAAAAATCAAAGCTGAGACAACTCCAGTCCGACCCCAAAGCCAACGGATCGGCTGTGCGTACCTCTGAATAATTTATGCTATGGATCATGTTTAAGTCATAAATGGTATTACAAATTTTACAGCAGTTTTTCCATATGTTGTTCACTAACAGGCTGAGTGGAAACAAGGCAGAGACACTAGAGCACAAGCCCATGACCATGACTAATTAGGCAGAGTTCAAAGGAATTTTCACATTTAAAGGACAATTCTGCACACTGTCTGTTCCCAGGGGAGGTGCTCAGTCTGGATCTCCTCAATGCTGATGAAACAAATTCAGATGAACTTTGCTGCACATTGCCTCATTTCATGCATCTTCGATAAAATGAGCAGATCAAATTTTATGTTGCTGTTGCCGTCGTTAACAAAGCCTTTACTGTTTTGTAGCAAACGCAAGCTGTGCTTTGAAGCTAAATTTGCTCTGAAGTCAACTTTGATCAGACTCCAGATGAATTATTGAGCGTGATAGTCCATGCAACGCTGAGACGCATGACTATGAACACCGCAGTTGCTCAGACAAAAGAAGATGGTTGTCTTTGTGTTGCTTTTTGATTGTGGGGTGGAGTGCGTGTGTGTGTGTGTGTGTGTGTGTGTGTGTGTGTGTGTGTGTGTGTGTTTTCACGCACCTGGGAGAGCTGAAAGATAACATGTCCCATGATGCATCAGGGAGATGGAGAGGAAAGAGGCAAGTGAGGAAAAACAGAAAAAATAGTTGTTAGATAATTAAAACCATAGCGTTATTTTGACCACACAGTGTTCCATCCTGTGCTCATGAAAGCTTCACCATTCACTGTTTTCCACTTTGTTTGTTTGATCTTTGTTTCTGCACAGGTACTGATTCATTTTAGATAGATAGAGATAGACAGACACGTGCAATAAGTTACATATAATAAAAGAGGTTTGTGACTGTAACTGAAGGCTGAACAAAGAAAACTAAGTGTATCAAAAGAGGAAGAGGAGGTCACAGTCCCACCCACATTTTTTTAAGTGACATGTGACCCCTGGGAAATGAGCGGTAAGCACTCAGCAACAACAATACAGATGCAGATTCAACAAATTCATGTTTTCCTCTTCGTTATTTTATCACCAACAATGTGAAATACAATTAAAAAAAACATAAAATCCAATAAAAACAATCCACATGGACAAGATCTGCAAAATAATTATGCACGTGTGAATGTGTGTGTTGTATTTTAAACCCCAGAGCAGCCACTAGAAAAACTTTTCAGGGGTCCCCGGAGGAGGGTCGCCTTGTAATCGATGGAAATCCCAGATACTTTAAATATTCAACAGCTTTCCTGAGAGCTTTCGTCATGACGTCTCTGCGCCACTGTTTGTCTTAAGTACATCTACACTGTTAACTTATTTATCCCAGCATCCGTCCATTTGCTCCCTCGGCTTCAGAAAAGCTCCTGTTTCTACACCCTGTGTTTCACACACCTGATTTATTTATTCATGTGTCCATGCATCAGAGTGTACATGCTTGGGCTTCCCTTGAAGTACCTGTCCTCCCGACTACACAACACACACAGCCCAAAAGACACAGACACACACACACACACCTCTTTTGCGGGTTTTAATGCCAAGTCTGTGGTTTAAAATATTGATGACTGGCATTTCTCTTTGCATCTCTGCCTCTGCATAGATACCATGCATGGGAGGAGATAGCCAAGGAGAAAAGCTCCAATCAGCAGGCGCAAACAAATGACAGCTGTTACCTGTCAGCGGAGAGAAACTGGCTCTGAGTCCTGCTGTGTTTACACTGTTGTTTGGATGATTTATGTGCAGTAATGTCAGTTCTTCTACAGCCCTCTTGACATTTATTTACTTCACTGTGTGGCTCAGTGGTCCCGACGTTTTTATTGTCTGACAAGCACCACAGCCCTGCATCTGAGCTCATTAACACCATACGTCATCTTCTTAATGCATTTATTTGAACATACTCTAAACACAGTTAATCCTATTAATTGTAAAGATGGATGCTGTTACAATAATTTGTTCATACAAAACAGTGATCCTGGAATTCTGAATGCTTGGGCTTTTGTTAAGTTTGCATTCGTAGGCTACTACTACTACCACTTAGACTGACAGAAGATGGACATTTCAGCTTTTTATCCATTACTAGTCCATACCCACTGGTAGCTTTGTCACCTTCTACCTATGCCAATCCTCAATGCCTATGTGCAGTTTCACATAGATTGACCACGTCAGTGAGTAGAAAAATGTGGGACAGACAGAATGACAGACAGACAGAATGACACACTGACAGTTTCCGTGATTATGTACAGCATACCATACCATGACTTAGTCATACCAAAAATTAGAAAAAAAAAAAACAACAAACATTGGGCCACAGGGGGAGTCACAGCGATCGGTCGCATTTTAGCCATTTTTAAGCATTTTTCTGTTGTTATAGCGCCACCCAGTTGCCAATTAGGGTTAAATTTCTCCAGTCACCTTGAGGCGTCCTGTTCTACATATCTACCAAGTTTAGTAAAAATCAGTTAGGCCTAGATAAGAAATTAGCTCTGTAGCGCCCCCATTTTGTTTGATGGGGTCAATAATGGAGGGGTCCCCTCAGATTATGTGTGGTCATATGCCTACAAAGTTGCGAGGTGATAAGTGAAACCCTTGAGATGTTATACACCTTTATGTGATGAGCCATGCCCTCCGCAATATTCATTGCCTTATAGAAGCTCAGTTTTAGTAAGTTTTCCAACTTTTGTCAAGAGGGAACTTTAGATATTGGTCCCTAGATTATGTTCACCGAGTTTCATGCAGATCGGTCAAACTTCCTAGGAAAAGATTGATTTTAAGTGTTTTTCAAAAAATTCAAAATGGCGGAAAATCTATATAACCGGAAGTTTTGTGTTCTTGAGGCAAATTTGTTCCTCATGAGGAGAGGCATCTCTGTGCAAAGTTTCATGTCTCTACGACATACAGGGCATGAGATATGCCCATTCAAAGTTTGCAATTATAAATGACTTGCAGTTTTACGGGGGACAAACTGTTTCTCTTTTAGGGCCAGTAACTCCTGGAGTTTCCTCTGGTTTCCTGGAAACTGTTCTTGGCCAAGAAATAGTCTGACCCATAACCCTGTGTAAAACTGCCAGATATGATGGACTGATATGGGAACATATATTTTCCGGAAACAAACAACAATTTATCTTCTATTAGTCTTAATATTTCAGCAATATCATTTCCATTTTATAACTCTATTTATCTGCTTTACTGTTGTAAAAAAAAAAAATTAAGCTTTATTTAGCTACACAACACGTGACGTGAAGTAGGGCCATGGTAAAGAATGTCAATACTAAAACCCATAAAAATGAAGCACCTACTAAAAAATAAATATATTCCATAAATAATATTTCATGGCAGAATTTTTTTTTGCTTCTTTGCACTTGTCAGCTCCACGATGCTCTCTGTATTGCTCTGTTTATTATTCTTCATTTTTTATCTCACTGAACTTCACCATCTCCTCCTCCATCTTATCTCTAAGCTCTGCAAATAAGCCCGAAAGCTGCAGCTTTACCGCATGCAGATCCCCTGCTGCCATCCACATATCAGAGGCAGAATATGCCCAGAAAGCTCCGGGCTGCACAGATACAGCTCTGCAACACTGTAGATGGTCACTGACCAGGGCTTTTACTGACCAGCTGAATGTGATGCAAAACCAACTGATAAAGAAGAGGAAAATAAAACAAGATTAAATACCTCCAGCACTGTAGAAACCAGCATTTTCTGTAGATTCACCAGTTTATCATGATGTAAGGTTTGCATGTATGTTTACTTCCAGGAATATCAAATTACCTTCCTCTACTTCTTGCCTTTTTGACTAACATTTAACAGCTAGAAACATTTTATGTTCCATTCACTAACATTTAAAGGAAGAGTGTGTAAGATTTAGGAGGACTTAGTGGCAGCTAACAGTGAGGACTGCAGACTGCAACCAGCTACATCTCCCAGTTAGGATTTGTTCAATGTTCATTGTTCAGAAGGTTTTTACCAAGAGATGAATTATCTGTAGAAGTCTCTTCCTCTCTAAAACAAAAGGACCAGCTGATTTAAATCAGTAAAAAAAAAAACTGAAAAAAGAGAAAAAAAAAGCAGTTTCATGTTTCAAATCAGTGTTTCTCCGACACCGTTCGACATCTCAAAGATGGGGCCACTAGCACCTGCTAATCTGTGATCACCTTCTTTTCTCTGATTACTTTTGTCATGTGCTAACTTATCTGCAGAGGTCTCCTTCTCTCCAAAACAATGGTCCCGATGATTTAAACCAACACTGAATAAAGCAGGATCATGTTACAAATCAGTGTTTTTCTGATGCTATTCAGCATGATAAAGACAGGGCCGCTAGCCCAGCACCTGCTAATGTGTGTTCTCAGATAACTTAAAGGTATAGTGCATCCAAAAATGAAAATTCACCCATTATCTACTCACCCATATGCCGATGGAGGCTCAGGTGAAGTTTTAGAGTCCTCACAACACTTGCGAAGATCCAAGGGGAGAGGGGGTAGCAACACAACTCCACCTAATGGAGGCTTATGGCGCCCCAGATTCAAACGTCCAAAAACACATAACTGAAATATAACTGAAACCACAAAATATCTCCATACTGATTGTCCGAAGTGATCCAAGTGTCCTGAAGCCCCGAACCTCTCTGTACACGGCACTCACGTGTGTGCGCGAGACCAGAGAAAGCATGCGCGCACATGTCAACGCGGTGTACAGAGAGGCAGTTAGAGCTAAAGGGTACAATGAGGCTAAAAACAGAGTTCAAATGACGTTTTTCCAAACAACTTTTTATGTCGGGGTTTCAGGACACTTGGATCACTATGGACGAGCAGTATGGAGATATTTTGTGGTTTCAATTATGTGTTTTTGGACGTTTTAATCTGGGGCACCCAGCCTGCATTAGGTGGAGTTGGGTTGCTACCCCCTCTCCCCTCGGATCTCCGCAAGTGTTGTGGAGGACTCTAAAACTTCACCTGAGCCTCCCTCGGCATATAGGTGAGTGAATTTTCATTTTTGGGTGCACTATCCCTTTAAGATCCAGACGTTCAGGAGATTTTCACCGGTTGACGAATAATCCGCAGAGGTCTCTTCAAAACAAACAGACCCAGTGAATAAAAACGGTAAAAAACACTGAATAAAGCAGTTTCACGTAAAAAAAAAAAAAAAAAATCTATATTTTTCTGATGCTTTCATCTGGGAGGGGCCTCTAACTAAGGTGACCAACGTAAAAACATGAACAGCCCGATCTAGAGTCAGTGTTTGGTTTGTCTGTTTTTGGCAACTGTAGAAACATGGCGGTGCAACATGACAAACTCTGTGGACGAGGACCTGCTCCCTATGTAGATATAAACAGCTAATTCTAAGATAACGAAAACACAAAAATTCTTATTTTCAGGTGATTATACGCTAAAGAAAACATGCCTATTCTATCATATTGCATTTCTGCCAATTAAACCCCCTAAATGCTACACACTGGACCTTTAACTCAAGCATCGCTTTTACCTAAAACTCCAGTTTTGAAAAAGTTTTTGATCTTTAGTTTTGTTCTCCTCACCATAGGACCAGGGGTCTGTGAAAAGCTTTAAACAGGTTTCAGATGTTGGTGTAAAAAAAG